CGAATAATATAAATAACGTCGATAGAGAAGAAATAAAAGAATTGCACTTCTGGGAAGGACGTGGATAAAAGTTTTCGGAAACATACTTAATAAATTTGTGAATCTAATCGAGGAAAGTAATAATGATATGATAGAAAAATTGATAAAAGTATGCAACTCAAAAATTAACAAAAAACCTATATATCGTAGTGATGTTAAATTACATTTGAAACAAGATGCAAAACCAAAAATTATACCACCAAGACGCGTTCCATATAAAAGACTTGATTTAATAACAAAAGAATTACAAAAATGAATTGATGATAAGATAATAGAACCAGTAGATGAAATACGATGGGAAAGTCCACTCACTCCAGTTTATAAAAGTGATGGATCACTAAGGCTATGTGCTGATTTTAAAAATACGATAAACCCTGTATTAGAGGACTTTAAATATCCGATACCACGTATTAATGATTTAATTTCAAAATTATCGAAAGGAAAAAAATTTACAAAAATTGACTTCAAAAACGCGTTTCTTCAAATACCAATACATAAAGAATCTAGAGATTTACTTATAATATCAATGCACAAAGGTTATTATAGATTTACGAGACTACCTTTTGGTTTAAAAGCGTCATTCAGCAATTTTCCAATGTACCATGGATAAAATTTTTGGAGATATGAAAGATGTCATATTTTACATAGATGATTTATTGATAACTGGTGATAATGATACATTACATCTGAACAACATAAAAAAAGTCTTCGACAAAATAACAAAATATGGACTTACACCAAACTTCAACAAGAGTGTGTTTATGAAGAAGGAGATAAGATTTTTGGGACATGATATAGACGAAAAAGGCATACATCCGAATGAAGATAAAATCAAAGCCATTTCAAACATGCCAAAAGCAACAACAAAAGAGGAGTTAGCAACATTTTTAGGCATGGCCAGTTATTACAGAAAATTTTTGTGAAACTTTGCAGACTTAGCAGACCCGTTATACAAAATTGTTAACAAAGAGAAGTGGATATGGGAAGATGCACATCAGAAAAGTTTAGATGATTTGAAAACGTTGATTAGTAGTCCGCCAACTCTAAATTTTTACGATCCTGAATTGCCTATAGGAATTGCTACTGACGCTTCGAAAAAAGGATTAGGTGCAGTATTATTTCACATTGAAGGCGATGGTAAAGAAAAACCTATAGCCTTTGCGTCAAGAACTTTATTGAAAGCTGAAACAAATTATACAAATATTGAAAGAGAAACTCTATCTATAATATATGCTGTGAAAAAATTTCAAGAATATTGATTGGGACAAAATTTACGATAATAACAGATCACAAACCGCTAATATATATTTTCAAAAACACTCAAAGAAAATACTTCAATATCAATGCGATTACAAAAGTGGAATTTAATTGGGAGCTTATGATTACACAATAATACATAGACCGGGGAAACAGAATTTAGTGCCAGATTGTTTGTCAAGATTACCATTGACAAATACAGAACGCGATAAAGAATATAGAAGGTGAAAAAATTGAAAAATTTGATGACAAATTATGGGACATCCCAATAAACTTCAATAGAATAGTTAAAGAAACAAATAAGGATGAAGAATTAATGTAAATAATTGATAGTATTAGGAGTAACAACCCGATAAAAAATAAAACGTACAATAATATGGAGATGGAATTAAGCTTGATGAAAGATTGTCTTTTTAAGGAAAACAGAATAATATACCGATGAACATGAGAAAGAAGATCTTACATGAAATACACAAGGGACATCTAGGAGCAGGCAAAACGAAATTGTTAGCATGAGATTACTTTGGTGGCCTGGTATAAATACAAAGATAGATCAAGAGGTGAAAAATTGTGATCCATGTAATAAATACACAGATCATGGGAGAAAGCAACTAAGATTTTTGAACGAGTACACATAGATTTTGCACAATTTGAAAATAACAATTTTATTGTATTTGTTGACGCATATAGCAAATTTCCACTAATAACACGCATGAAGAACTTAACGACTGAATCTACGATAAAAGAATTGATGAGAATCGTTAGTTTATTTGGAATACCAAACAAAATAGTGACGGATAATGGTATTAATTTTACTAGCTATTTATTTAAAAAGTTTTGTGAAGATCATGGTATCAATCATATACTCACAGCACCGCATCATCAACAATCGAATGGGCAATGTGAACGCATGATAAGAACGATGAAAATGAACATGAAAAGAAATATGGGAAACAACAAGAAAATTTCAAAAATTTATATATATATTTTTTACAAAATTTTTATTTATTTATAACAATCATTTTCTATGTCGTAAGTCATATTCTCGCTTTTGAACTTGACTTTGAATTTTCGAATTTTGAACTTGACTTTGAATTTTGACCTTGAACTTGTTCACTTCTTCCCCCTCTAAAAATTTTTTCAGTATTATCTTTTGTTATATTCGTTGCTCTTTTCTTTATTTGATCCAAATGTTTCCTAATAATATGATGTCCATTGTCTATTTTGTACGTTAAGTTTCCTTCTTTTTGTATCACTTTTCCTTTGTCCCAAATATTTTTTAAACGTTTTGTACCAAATTTTTTCTCCTACGTCTATTTCTCTATTATTCGATATTTTCCTCTTTAATATATTTTCGTTTTTTTCCATTGGTTTAATTAAATCCCATTTAGTCATCATTGTTCTTGAAAACATCAACTTGCTAGGTATCATATTTGTTGTATCATTAAGCGTATTTCTATAATTAAACAAAAAAAATTCCAACGCAATGAATGGGATGATCAATACAAACAGCAAATCAACAAGCAATGTTCCACCAACGATGCTTCACAAAAGATGTTCAATAATCGATTCAACAAACGATAATCAGATGGTCAAACAAACAATCTCAAGATATACGAAATGGAGCAATTGAGAAAACAAATGACTGGAAGTGAACATAAGAAACTGAGGAAAGAAGACATTTAAAAAAAGAGGGAAATGTTAATATATAAATTGTGAATATTAAAACTTTATTTTTCTTTCTTTTACTTTTATAAAATATAAGGACGACCTTGTCGCAATTCTTTCTTTTTCGTTTTTTGAAATAGATTTATATAACCTTTTAAAAAACTTATTATATTTTAATATGTAAATATGTATTTTTTAAATTGTATATAAGACTGAAATTTTCAGTGTAGATAGTGATAATAAAATAAAAATTTAATATTAAACGTTTGCCTTTCATACAAATGATTAGTTTTTAATTCATCATGCATCACTTACAAATTCGCAGATATTACTTCCACAAAAGCCTTTCCAACCTTTTTCAGATGGTGATATAAAAAAAAAATATTTGTTAAATTTTTATCATGAAGACGTTAAAATATTTTATGATGCCTTATTAGCTAAATAACTATGATTAAAAGATCAACTATGGTTGATACAGTCCCAAAAAATGCATGGATGCGTTGCATTATTTCAAACACATTTTAGATTATATTCCCAATGTATTAAAATGGTTATATATATATTAGCAACTCTTCCCATTAGTAAACTAATGAGATAACATTCTCTTTTTTAAGAAGAATAACAGAGCCATGCAGATGTACCATTTGCAGGGCACGGTCCAGATTTTTTAAAAATTTTTTCGGTCCGGGGTTTTTTTAAAAAATTTTGAGGCAAGACCCGGCTTTTTTGAAAATAAAATTTTCAGGCCCGGTCCAAATTTTTTTAAAATAAATTATATTTATTTTTTATTTTTATAGTTAATAATGGAGATTTCAAATATTTACTTTTAAAATATACAGTTCGGCCCGGATTTTTTTTTTAAAAAAAATTTCAGGCCCAACCCGGGTGTTTTTTAGAAAAAAATTTCGAGCCCGGCCCGGGTATGTTAAAAAAAATTAAAATACGGTCCAGCTCGGGGCCGGGTCTGCAAGTCTCTGGAGAACATACCTATGAAATACAACTTCTGAAAGTAGATTGAATGATTTGGATCTTTTGAATATTCATAGGCATTTAACGCCAAGCAAGGATAGATAATTGAAAAATTAGCTCAAAACATACAAAATACAATTATTCCTAAGAAACTTTTTGTGAATTAATTTATATTTCCAACATTTAAATTTTTTATACTTTATATATTCTAAAGGCTCAAAAAATTCAAATTTCAATTTTGGGTCATTTATGGTTATATTCACTTTATTTTTTATAATTCACATTTATTTTATAGTTTTTCAATGCTGGTTTATATATATAATTTTTTTATAATTCACATTAATTTAAAATTGTGTATTAGAAAAGCTATTAGTCCTAATAAATTTATGCTTAGTATTTTTAATTAACAATAATATTTCTTAAAAAATTTTATTAATCCTTCGCAGACCAAATTCCTGCGTACGCGCCTGAAAGTGTACATACATTGAAGTCAATATGTCGTTGACTGTAGTAAACACCATTGATCGTTTAAATGGCGGACTTTATGTATGTACACTCAATTTCTTAATTTTGTGTCATTTATTATTCTATTGATTTTCTTTTTCTATGTCATCTTTCAATTTTCTTATTATTTTTGAGTACCCTTTTATAATATATATTTTTACAGTTTAGTGGCATCTTTCTTTATTTTTTTTATCATTTCTAATTTTCTTTTTAATTTCTTTAAAAAATATTTATGATAATTTGGGGCCTGGCCACTTATAATTTTTTGAGTTTTTATTTAATGAAAAATTAAAAATTTTCAGCCCTTTTAATTTCAAGCGGATATCAATGCCACTGGCTTTATATTCATATACTACAAGACAATAACATTTATTAATTCATCAAATATCTAACATGTAAAATATAATTATATATCTATTTGTGTTAATAAAATAAATTTATCTATAGATTGGTTAAAATAAAAGCTTAAACTAATTATGTTATTTATGTTAAATTATCAAATATTTATAATATTAACATTCTTTACTTTACAATTAAATAATATTCTATTCAATAAATAAATATTAAATTGATAATGCCGATGCTTTGAAATTTTTATTTATTTTTCCAAAATAAAATCTAAGCTTATAACGATTTTTCTGCCCACAACTGATACATTTGATATTGCATGTGTTCGAAATATATTTGCAAGTATTTGACTTGTTGGAATAAAATGATGTGCATGGAAGAGGTTCTAATACCTTATCATCATAATTTCTTATATAAACTAATTGATTTTCACTATTTTTATTTAGGTAAGTGTTTAAAAATGGCTTATTTGCACAATTTATAGTATGTTTAATCTTATTCTTTGAATGAGAATCGTTCTTTGGTGAAATTTCCGCATCAGATTTGATAATATTCTGTTTGAAAATGCTATCTAGCGATATAAATCCCATTAATTTACTAAAAATGTTTTGAAGAATTATTGGTCTGCTTGTCAATTTTTTGCTTTTTTTAAAGCTTGTCTCATAGTTTGATTGAAGTGCATTACCCTTAACATCAGATATTTGAATAGATTTACCTAACAAAAACATATCTTTAGAAATATAAGGTGCGTCATCTTGAGTATCGTAAACGTGCATGGACATTGATTTGCTATTGATAGAGATTCGATTATTAGTTTTATTCAAGTCACACAATCTTGCGTTGTTATTATTGTTCATGTTTTGGTTTCCGTAAGCTTCATTCTCTTTATTCAACAAGTTATTAGTCATGGCATGAACAATGTTATTATCTTCGATTGTTTTGGATATGCAATCACCTATGGTGTTATCGCTAATTTTATCGTCCTCCATGTTGTCATATGGAATAACATTTTGCTTGATCTTTACCCATGAGATATTGGCCTCACTTGTTTTATCGTTCGGGTTCTCAATTTGATCGCTTATCTGTAATTCGTCTAATTTGCCCATGAAAAATGGCGATGTTATGAAATGCGACGAGTAGGGCTGGTCTTCGAATGGAAGCATATTTTCTTCAACTTGTATTCCCACTTCGTTGCGACCTGTGAGTGAGTCATCATCAATATATAGAGATTCTTGTGTGACCAAATTTCTGTCTTTTCTAAAATTTTTGACACCACCGGAGGATATCGGAGGTACAATGAAAGGAATATCGATTATTCTACGTCTCCTTCTTATGGATGCGTTTGAATCTCTGCCTATATTACTGATACTATCACTTTTAATGAGGCTAGATCTAGTATCAAATGGTACAATTTCTGAGGCCATTTTTTGGCCTTTCATTATATCCTTTCTATCAAGAGCTAAAATACTGCTTGATAAATTTACTTTATCGTTTTCCATCTCTACCATATTATCCGTCTCAACTTCTTCAGACTCTTCCGGAGTTTTATTCAAGAATAATTTTTCTTGTTTCATTTGGAACTTTTTGCTTTCATTTTGCTCCATTTTTACGGCATCGGCTGCTGCCGAAATATCGTTTATGGCCCTGGAATAAAAATTTAATCTAGAATCTAGTGATAATTGTCTGTTTTTAAATCTTTTCTGCTTTGTAGTCAACGAACTGTCTTGTCTTTTATCTTCATCAAATAAATTAGCGATTGCTTTTTTAAATATGCCACTTGAATCTGGTTTTATTGATATCCTTTTATATAATATATCTCCCTCAACTTTTTTTGTCTCTTCATATTCAGATTTATTTTCATAAACCTTATTCGTTTCATTATCATTTCCGCATATGTTCATTTCCTCGACAGAGTTAGTTATCAGTGAAACCTTTGTAGGTGGAGGACCCTTTTTTAAGGCAATAAAATATTATTTTTAATTTTAAAAAATTATATTTTGATATACCTGTCTCCAAGGCGAGTATTCACTTTGCAATCGTCTCAAATGACTAGCTATATCATTGACCACCTTTGGATTTTCGAATATTGCTGCATAACTACCATTTATAAATTGGGGAGAGTGAGGGGTGTTACTTAGCAGCAAACTAACACCAAAATTGCTACCTCGTCTATCATTTATATTTATCCTATTCAGCTTTTCTTTTTTACCATCGAATGTTTCGTTTTCTTCTAAAAGGTAACTAGCTGCCGTTGCTCGTCTTTTTGCAGAAGCTCTAGGATCAAAAATGACACTCATTTGTTTGCGAGGGATCATTTTTTTCTTTTTCGCCCTTTTTCCCAAATCCATGACGGTTTCCAAGGAATCATCTTTAATATAACTTAATTTTTTGTCAAAAGGTTTCGTTATAATGATGTCTTTTTGAGCGGAAAAAGAGGAGGAAGGAGATGAAGAATATTGTCCTTTATCCTGCGCTTCTGATTCTATGGTCTCCAACGATGTTTTATCCATCGAAGCATCTTTATTTATGTCATCCCCTATGCCTGATTCATCCTCGCTTATATCAACTTCGACTTCGTCTTCGATCTCTTCTATCCACAGGCCTCCCAATTTCAAGACTACCTCCCGCGCTGCTATCGCAATTATATTCCAATCTCTCCTAATATCTTCTTCAGTAGTATATTGGGAAGTTACAGTAAATCTTATTATGTATGTTCCTTTGAGTGATGCTGGTACCATATGTATTTGTCCCGAATAGTTTAGAGATTTTAAAAGCGTTTCGGTCAATTCATTTTCGCCCTATATACGTATTTTTTAAGATACAGTTTATAAAATAAATTGTTTATTGAAATGCAATAGGACTTTAGATAATTTCTTAGATTACTTTCAATCGAAATACAATCATTCCTAAATGTCTTTTGGCAGGAATTTGGAAATTAGGATTCGATATAACCAATGATTCCATTAATTTAGCCAGCTCCACACCCTTGATTATAATAAAAGAAAGATCTTATTTTGAATGATTAAAAAATTTAGAATATAGTCGTTCTTAACATAAAAGAAAAATTATTTTATTAATAAGTAAAGCCCTGCACAGATCTTTACACTAAATTGAGTCGGTTAGACTCAAGACATTCTCTCAAGCTCAGTCAAATTTCACCTTGATTTTAAAATTTTTATTAGGACCAGATTGGACAAAATCTTTGATATTCTTTCAGCGTTCAAAATATTTAATTTAGTTAAAATACCATGTTTTTTCAACAATCCCGTAAAAAACGATATTTCCAAAATAGAATATCGAACTCGTCCTAAAATACTCCGCCTTGATAGATTAAACAAAATTTAAAAAATTTTTCTTGGACAGTGCCGGGCTGAAAAAATATGACCGCTATAAGGCCCAATATTAAGATATTATTTATTTAATGATTAAATTAAAATAATTAATAATGATAAAATTTTTCCTTTATTTTCACAAAATTACTAACTCATTATTATAACATTTTTTAAATATAAATAAATAAATCTTAGAATTATAATTAAAATTAAAATTTTTCTAAGATTGATTTACTCGTCTAATATGTTTTTGAATTCCAGAGACACCAAATGACCTAAGCACACACCATAATTTTAATGCCCTGAATCTTCTGCTAAGACCTATTTGCCAATGCTAAAATAATTGAAATAATTTATAATAACTCCCTAGAGTTTTCATTAATTAATATAAAAATGACTCACCATATAATCAATCGCTTCACCTGTGAATAATATTAAAATAAATTTTATTATTATAAACTTAAAATAATGTATGTCTTTGTAAGCATTTAATGAGTTTTTAAATTGGTTATTATTTCGAATTTAAATCATTTTTTGAGTGGTTTATTTAAATTTAAAAAATATGATTAATATAATTTATATCAGTATAATAGATTTTTAATACAAATTATAAATGACTCAAAACTTAACTACAAAATTGGTTGAGATTCGTAGGATAGAAATTCTAAACGAAAAAATATATTTCAGGTAAAATCAGATTTTTAAATTTTTTAAAAGCGTTCAAAAATGATTTAAATTGAAAGAATAACACATTTATGAAAATAACAAATGACTCTCACAAGTAATGAAAATAAAAGGTTTGCTGTTAATATTTTTTATTTATGTTTAAGAAAGATGAAGACACAATAAAAAATGTGCAATATAAGATTTGCTATCTAATTATAATAGTTAAACTTTTTCAACAACATCTATATGTTATAACTTATTCTAGAATGAAGATCCGGAATTCTCACGTGAGGATTTGGAACCTCTGTATTTTAAATCATCTAAGAAGGTGGTTGTTAAGTAATAAATTTAAATTTACGAGAGATTAATTCGATTATGTTTAGAGTATACTCACGCATAGCCAGGTTTATTAAATGAGGGAGGGGGAGGGGGGGGGGGGTAAAATTTATTAAACCCCGTTTGGCCCGACCTTTGGCCGGGTCCTTACTATAAAAAGTTCTTATATTCGGTGATCTTTATATAATGTCCGTTAAAGTTGACTAAACAAGCCCTAATTCTAAAATATGGCAATGTTTTGTGATTTATTAATGTCTGACTCTAACCAGTATAGCCAGTATAAAGGAAAAAATTATTAGTAACAAAATTTTGACCAACCTTAAGATTAAAAAGTGACTGGAAGCATTTATTCAGTAAATTTTATCAAGTTTAGATCATAATTGTATATTAATTTAATCCGTTTGGTAGACAGTATAAAGAAAAAAGAAAATTTCCAAAATAGACATAGAGCTAAAATATAAAAAACTATCTGGCGTGTGATAATATAAGGCCTGCCTAGTACTTTTAATTCCTCACTCATATATGAGAACAACGAAAAGAAAATGAGTTATAAAAATGAATACTATGACATCACGCTCTAAGAGTGAAGTGAGCCAAGCTTTTGGAAACACTAATTCTGAAACTTATACTAAACTATTTAATAAGGCTTTATTAATATATTTTATTGATTTTTTTTTTCTGTTTTAAGTATTTATTTTTATTTCTTTATATATATATATCTACATAAAACCTAATTAAAAATATTATAATTTATAAATTTATATCTATATAATTAAAAATAAAATTCTATAATTGAGTCCCCAAAAAGGAACCATAATTGTGTCTAAAAATTTCTATTTGAATTTTTTGTCGAACAAAAAGGAATTCTCTGGGTTCATTAGTGAATAGTCGTATTAATTACCCAGATTTTTTTAAAAACAAAAATGTTTTAGGCGAAAAATGCCCATTAGTAGAAGTCACTACTTGAGTGAATAGGAAGTTTTTAAATTTTTTGTATTTGTTTGTCTTTTTAATTTCAGCCTGTGTTATTAAATTGAAATTTATGTTTGAAGGGAATGACGAGACACACGTGTAGTCTCATATGAGTGATTTGCCGAGGGCCCAAGGTATGGTTGTCATACCATCAGGTCTTAAACCATCTACTTGAGATAAATTTGATGGTTCAAGATTGTTTGGAATGTGTGCAGCTGTTATGCTTCTATTTATTATATGGTTTACAGCTGAGTGGCGTTGATGTCACCCTTGACTAAAAATACAATTTAGGCCATGTCTACCCTTTGAATCAACGGGTGATTTGCATTTGATGCAGGCATGAGGCTGTACTATATCGCAACCTAGACGTAAACCATTGGTTACTCTCAGTTGTTCATCTGATAAGAGATTACCAAGGTTGCGACTAGGGAGTAATTCTAACCATTCATGACCACCAAGCCTGTTCAGATAATTGGAGGAGTTGAATGCAATCTAAAGGTGGATTGACTGATATATCTGTTTAGTATTTCGAGATTAAAGGTGTGAAAAATCTTTTGTGTGTGATGATTGATCGTAATACGGTGTTAATGGGTGTGTTTGCCTTATTTGTCAATAGCATCATCTAATAAACGATCGGTCGGACATATGAAGCCAGAAATCATAGAATTGTTAGATAATCTAGATGATACGAATGATAATAAGGATAAAAGATTGAGCGGAAAAAATCTAAACCGCCTAGTTTAGAAGGTAGCTGAGCAAGTGACCAATTGAATGAGTTTAAATTTATGTTTAAAATTTTTTCCAAAAATATTTTAAATTTATCCTGAATTTTAGATATGAGTTCATTGTTTTTGAAAAAAGATGATGATCGGAAAATGTGCATAAATTTAGGTATGTACAGGCATTTGCGAATTAAAAATAAAGATTGATGAGCTGGTAGGAGACTTAAAATGTGCTCCATACTGTAAAAGCTTTTAAAAATATTGTGGAGAAAATCTTCCGACTTGGTCTCATTAGCTAATGGGGACCCAAGTAAAGTTAAGCTGTCAGGAGCAATGATTTTGTAGCCTTCCAACTTTTGTGGCTTATTGTTTAAGAAACATAATTCTGTCTTATTTATGTTGAGTACCAGGCCGATAGCTTGGGAATTGATTTCCAGATGTTTTAAGGCGCTTAGTACATTAGCTGAAGGGCCACAGATGGTCCCATAGTCTAAATACCATAGATTAAGATCTAGGTTGAAATTTTGTTCAATTTGGTAGATGAGATGTTGGATTCCTAAACAAAAAAGAAGTGGTCCTAATGGATCCCCTTGTTGGATGCCCTATTGGGATAAAATCTGATAAGATCCATATGTCAAAGGCGTCTGAAAACCATATAAGGATTCAATAAATTTAGAATAACAGGGAAAAGTTTCATAGAAGAATTTTAAAAATGAGGTACGATGTAGGCTATTGAAGGCCTTTTTGAAATCTAGTTTACAAATTACAGAGTCAGTGAGTTTTCTAAGTAAATTCTTAAGGTATGAGCCGCTATTTCACAGCCACCCTTGATCCCAAAACCTAGTTGATAAGAATTCAAAATGTTGACAGCATCATGTTTGATGTGTTCGATTATGATTTTGGCTATTAATCTTCTGAAAAAGGAGCCTACTGCAATGGGACGGGTACCACCATCTGGCTTAGATAAAGCAATTAGACGTGTACCAAAAAGGATTTGGTGAGTTTGTATTGGAATATCATTATTTATTATGTTATTACAAAAAGTTGTTAAAACCTTGATGACAGAACTATGGGAAGAATTTTTGGAATTAATTAAGTACTGAAAATAGGAGGGTCTGAAACCATCAAGACCACCTGCTGAGTTTTTATTGAAAGAATTGATAGCATTGACTATTTTGTCACTGGTAAAAATTAAAGTCTGGTGGATTGGAGAGATGGATAGATTATCTGTAGAAGCTTCAGGATGTAGTTGTTTCAATAGTTGTAATGTTTCTTCATTGATAGGAGAAAGATGGTTATGAGGATATGAGTTTAATTGCACCACCTATGTCACCTTGATCTATTTTATTTGATATTATTTTGCATTTGTGTGTTATATAATCTACTTGCTTTTTAACATTATGATTGTAGTTAATCATTTAAATAGTGTCAAAAATATCAATGTATTTGTTCATGTAATGGGGTCTCTTTGTTAGCGGGACGTATAAGACATTTGTGAGAGAAGGTTAATAAGTCTTCCCATGATTTTAAACAATTTAAGTTATCATTAACTTTTGTGATAAGTTTAATAATAAAATTTGAAATTAGGTTTCTAGATTTATTTGGCAGTGTTAAAGTGGGTCCTTTTTTCCATTCAAAAAATCTTTCAAGAAAATCTGTGTTAATAGGGGGAGGATGAGGCTCAATAATATTTAATAAGGGTTTGGGTATTGTTATAATTTCATTGGTTGGAGATTTTTGAGAGGAAGGACATGTTGACCCTTTGTAACTATGTTTGTATAAAAGGTTGCCCTTTGTCACTTTAATTAGTTTAGCACAGATGTTACAAATTGTTGACATTGTTTTATTTTATTTTTTAACATAAGAACATTTTTATTATAAAAATTAAAATTTCTTAGCAAAACTATGTATATAGGATCATGAATATTTAAATTGATGTTACAAAATTGCTTGTTACAAGTTTGATATGTGTAATGTGCAAGAAAACTATGAGAGGTATTGTTTGTAATTTTGATCCTACACATCTAGCAAAGAGACAGTAATGATTTTCACGTTTGTCGGCAAGTAATTGGATTAATTTTATGAATGATAAAAATAATTAAAAGTAAATTAAAAAATTAATATTTTCGTTTCATGGATAGAAGAAGAAATGTATTAAAATTAATTTAAATGTGTTTTATTTTCATTTATCTTTTACTCCAATTATAATCGGTCTTTGGTAGTTGGTTTAAATATGAAATTATTGGTAAAAAATAAAAAATTGTTAAAACATCGTGCCAGAACAGAGAATATAGAAGTTCAAAACTATCTGGTTTTGAGTTAATATTTACTCTCTTATTAATTCTTTCAATTTCGCCAGCATTAAAAAATAACCGAATTATGAACCAAAAATATATGATATCACGTCTAAAGCATTAAGTTGGCCAAACATCTGGAAGCATTATTTCTTAGGCCAATAAGTTGTGCGTATTTACTTCTTTACTGCTTCGACCTGTTTAATAGATAGTTTAAAGAAAAACATTTTTGGCAAAATATAAAATAAAAAAAATATCCAAAATTGGCAACATGCTAGAAGGAAAATTATAGAAGCAATCAACAATATATAATGTATGATTAGTGCTTACTAGTTTATCAGTCAGTTTTTTTTCAGCCAATAAATAAAAACCAGTTATAAACAAAATAAAAATTATGGCACTTAGGCTGAATTTTAAATATCGAATTTTAAATTATAAAAAATCAATTTTGTCAGAATACATTATGGTTTTTTTCCTCGATTCAATATATTTTTGAATTTTCAGATTCTATGACCTTCATAGAAGTTATTTTTTCTTTTCAGTTTGTTTATAAATATAGAAGTAATTCATATCTCATTAAATAAGATAGAAACTAAGATACTAGAAGCACAAAAGCAATTTGAAAATATTTAATTAAACAAAAATATGTTTTACTATGATTACCATTATAAAAAACTATCATCTTTTAAAATATAAGACTTGACACTTGATATGGTTGTAGCTTTGATACTTTTATATTTAATAGCGGCAAATTTTTAAAAATATTTTTATATTTATCGAAAACCATTAGTTGTTAATTTTTACACATATTTTTTTAAATAAATTTTTTTAAATTTTAACGTGACAATAAATATTTAAAATATTTTAAAAAAAATAATAAATAAAATTCAGTAAAATAACATCAAAAAAATAACGTCGTTACTAACTTCGTTACCTTCTTCTAGAGGTAACGAATAACGGTAACGCGTTTCTTTTTTTTGAGTAATAGTAACGCAAAACGTTACTCGTAACTTTAAATTTTTTCTCGAAAAATATTAAAAAAGAAAAATATATTAAATTCTCGTTGTTGAATTTTCAGTCGAATGTTAATCTAATTAATATTCATTCAAAACTCAAAGTAAATACTAATAATAATATTATTCTATTTTATAATTTATTTTAAGAATATTATGTCCATAGCAGTTACTTCTTCAGATGGAGATGATTTACTTCCCTGGCCTCAATTTGAAACATATTTTACACCAATAAAGAAAATAAATTAAGTACAAAGTCTTTGTAAATGTAAATTATGTCCCAACGCAAATATTTCAACCTCAAGGTTAAGCAGTTCAAACTTAAAAAAGCATATGAAGATAAAAAAAATGAATTAAGATATTATTATTTTAAACATTACTTTAATAATAGATTATTAAATCATGGGTATTATAAAAGTACCATTAAAAGAAGTATTCTTTCATAATATTTTAAAAAGCTTAATCATGAAATTAAAATATAAACAATTAAATATACTGGGCTAGGAACCAACATTTAAAACCCAAGATTAACAGAATATTGATATTGGTTTAAATATTAATTTTTCAATTTCTTGTTTTAATATTATTGCTATGGGTTTAACCTCAAGTCGTTAATAAATTTAAAGAATAAAATAGTGATTTAAAAAAATTTTGTTTAAATAAATTTGTATTTTTAAATAAATATATATGGAATAAAACTATGAAGCAATATTGTTTTAGAGAACTGAACCTATGTATTTTTACTGATTCCTTTTTAGATGATAATTCTGAATTCTGAAAAAGATAAGAAATTTTAAAAAAAATTATCTTTACCAATCACAATTTCAATTTTTAATGTTTTCCTTGACAATAAGCTTAGTGACGGATTAAAAAGGCAATTAAAGATTTATCTTCATTTATTGAAAAGTTAAGTTATTTTTAATAAAAAATTCAGGAATTAATAATATTTTAATTAAAAAATTATACACTATATTCCTCAAAAATGAAAGAGATTAATGAACATGTGAATAATAATTTTAAAAAATGAAGCAAATCAACTCACACTCATTGCGATGCAGAATTCATCTATATCAAAGATAAAAATAGCACAATCAGCTGTAGTTTGTTAAATTACCTAACTATGACCATCTCAGTTGTGGCTTAGTCAAGCTTTCAGCCTAAAAAATTAATAGCCTCTAAGTTGAGTCTCAACTTGAAGATTGATTGGAATAATTTTGGTTAAAAACATGGTTAATCTGTTTTATAGCTGACGAAAGTTAGATGGTTTAACAACATTAAACAGCTGTGGATAAATTATTTTTTAATTTTTTAATTGAAGAATTACAACCATTTTCAATTGTAGAAAGCACTGCATTTATTAATATTATCAAAAAATTGTAGCCAACTAAAAATGTGATGTCTTGGCCTACCCTCGTATTAAAAATTAACAAAGCATATGACACCAAAAGAAATTAGTGGATTTATTGTGAATCCCAATCGATATATAAAATATATATTTTATAGATTGATAATATTGTCTTTTAAAAATGTTCTTATTTGGAGATGACGGTACACTGGCTACACCCCGGCACTCTTGAGAGGGTTCAGCCTAACCAAAAACACACATTTGATTATCCTGCAAAACTAATATTTGAAACTTTTACCACATATAAGATACAAAATAAAGTGACCAAATGCATTACCTACAATGTTAGAAATTATATAAAAGCTTTCAAGTAAAAAAAACATATTATATATAAAATTTATTAGAATATATGAACAAGGAGAGGAATCTGATGATGAAATAGTTCCTCTGCCATTATTTGATCTATTTGGAAATCAAAATACTCATGATAGTATTGTATACTTACCTAAGCACATTCCTGTTTAGCACACACTTTAAATCTCGTTGCAAGTATTGACATTGAAAACGCAAATAACGATGCCCATTTTAAACCCATTTCAAAAATTACATTGTCTAAGTGTAAGCTATTGTGGAATAAACATGGGCAATCTTCAATGCAGCTAATCTTATTAAGGAGAATTGCCAAAAATCTGACGGTGATAAATCTGAATTACAGAGATTTCCAGATAACGACAAGTCGTTCATGGATGAATATTGCATGGTTAGCGTCAATTTAGAAATATGATGTGTATATATGATTTTATAGGTTATGGAAACGATTGCTATTACTCTTTCAATTTTAAAGTGCAAAGAAAAAATGCATTTGGGGTATCTCACTCCCACGTTAACTATTATAATATTAAAGCTTAAAAAATGACTTTAAATAATTTCAAGTTTTGTAAGCCGCTTATTAATTCAATCCTGGAAGGCATAGATAAGAGAATATATTGCTTACAATTTATATTGATTATTTTTTGTTTTATAGATTCAAACACATCTATAGAGATGAATAATTACTATCCGCAATAATTCATCTGCCATTTAAATTGGATTGGCCCTGGATAAAATTAGAGGTAAACAAAGGAAGAATGCTAAAGCTTATTTCCATTTTGAGAAAGATCTTGATAAAGAAAGAGCAGACTTAATTTCTTTATCCATCACACATTCCAGAATATTTTCTAATAAAGATAAATTTTTGTTTGATGAGGAAATGAATGAAGATCTTTGTGAAGATGATCTATTAAGCTTTTCTCAAATTCATTAAATATTTTTAATAAACCGTTAAAATTTTTATTTATTAAATAAATACAACTTTCCCATCCTCTGCGCCAATTAAACATGTGTTTGGCAAAGCTGTGTTGAGCACTAAGCGCTCTTGTTTGTCTGATCAAAATTTCGAAAATCAATTGTTGCTAAAAATAAATAAAAATTGTTACAAAAAGATGTTTTCTTATATATAATATATTATTTTTGTATAATTTTATTTATATTATAATTATATTATAATTATATATATGAAATTTTTTAAAAAGTAACTTTTTTGTAGTAACGTTTACAGCACTAATAAAATTCAACCAATCATATGACAGATAAATCGATAAAAGATAGCCAATGGTAATTACGGCTCACAAACCATAATCTTACCTTTAAAAATGAATATGGTAAAATAGCCAAATTTTTTGCAAAATTTAAAATTTATTAGAAAAATATAAAAACAATCAACTTCTATAGAACAAAATTATTATTTATGAATTAAAAACATAAATATAGTTGTTTTTAAATTTTAAGAATTTATATTATCAATTTAGTAGATTAATTTAAAAAAATTCAATTTTTTCAGGTGTGGAGGGGTGGGGGGGGGGGGGGGGGGGTAGGATAGTTGAACCCATAACCCCCTCCCCATGCCTACGCCCCGGAATATACTTAAGACTTTATTTTATTCTTATGCATTAAACTTAGATACTCAGCAAAAACCTTGATAATTGGGTTTATCTATTTGATTCTGTTTATTACAGAATATGATATGAAAATAAATAGCAAATATTTTTCACTTCCAGAATTTTTTTAACTTTTCATATTTTTAAAAAGGAAAAATGGGAAAATATGTTATATAACGTTAATATTTATTCAGGCCGGGCTGGCCCTGACTCCAGTAATTCTAACTACCCTATAAATTTCAGAAAATTTGGGGTGAACTCTTGTGTGTTCTATTAATTTAAATGAAATCTATATATATATTAAGAGTATCAAAAGTTCAGGGCAAAATTGTTTGAAATTCACAAGAGTAGATATTCTACATACATTTCTGGCAAAATGATATAAATTGAGAGATATCAAATTCTCACGCATACAAAATAAATTTACGATATATACATTTATGACTATTGGTTAAATTAATAATCAGAGAAAAATTGAATAACGAATAATATTCATTACCTGAATTTTCGTGCTGCAAATATAAGGGATCGACATTGAAAGTACGATGCAATAGAGTACTGTCTTTAATCCTATATTTAAATTTTTTTTTGAATTCTAAAAAATGTTTTACTATTGTTCAAATAATTATATTAATTTTTATTACTAAAAAGACATATATTTATTATCATTAAACTTTTTAGACTCTCTATAAAAATATTAGAAAAGTAATAGTTTCGATTTGATCTGTGTTGTTTTATTTTGTTATATTTTACATTTCAAATCATTAATTGAACGCGTTAATTTTAATTTGAAAATCTGCAGGAAATGAATTCCAATATGTTTATAATATCTAACCTATTAACTTCAGATAATTTTATAAGGAACTTGCGAATTTTAATTTATATTTAAAAAAATGGGAAAATGAAAATACGAAAAAAAGAATATAAATTTATTTCATAGTTTGTTATATAATAATCTTAAATTTATAGAGTAAGTATTCTATACATATTGGACTCAATAAATGACCATCAAACTAGAGTCTTCCCAATTATTTGTATAAAATAGAAAGAGAAGAGAAATACTCTCTCAAAACAATATGGTAACAATATAAACATATATAATTGTAATGTATCTTACACATCTTTATGAAGCCTGTTAACAGTAATTAAATAATTTGAAATGACACTATTTGGATATGGTAAATATTTTGTCATTTTCTTAAATTTTTTAACATTATTATTTTGATGAGGTATTTATCAGAATTAAAATGATTAGTATTACCACATAGCAGTGCAATCGAAATGTACCATCAACCATTTAGAGGGATTAAAAGAAAATGATTGGGCATATATTACTCCTTTTAACCATCCCCTGAATTCAGGACACACAAAAGCTGATCCAGCATAGGCTGCATCTATATGAAGATATATTTCTTCTTCATTACCTTTAAAATATCATAAATTAGGGTAAATAAGTTTTAGATTATATATCATATTAAAATACACAAATATATAAATATCTATCTATTCTAATATATCGGGGTCGGGTATTTCACCTGTCAAATACGATTTGATCAATTGACCGATATTTTACTGGTTAAATTAAATTATATATTTTTATGAATATATTAAAACTATTTATTTACTATAACTGACGGTTATTATCAGTGTTTTTATAAAACTAACTATTACATTTTTAATTAATTATATTCAATTATTTCAATTTGCTTCATCTCTAAATCTCTTTGTATTTTTTTATATTTCTGATATTCTTTCATATCAAAATGAGTCAATTAAGAAGTTTTGTTAATACATCTGTTTTGTGATAAAAAATAAATGGATGGCATATTATATAATATAGAAAATATATTCATAAATGAATGCATATAATTAAAATCTATGATATTTCACAGTTTAATTCTAGAAATAAAATTTCGTTTGCTTAGAGTTTTTTTCGCATTGAACTAAGTTATTAATATCTTCTTTTATATTTTAATTAATCATAATTTATGACTAATCTCCCCATTGTCATTAAATCAATGTTATTTATATGAATATTATCCTAAAAGGACTAAAAAAAAATGAAAAAAAAAGTTGAACTTCGAAGGGTTATTATAACATTTGCCACTTACTTTAAAGAGCAAGGTGGGCAAAGTCCCTTCAACCTGATGCCGACATCTGGTTATTGTTTCTAGATTCTATCGCATTCCACATATTTTGCTTATTAAATATATTGCATGTGGAAATTTATTATAACATAGCTAAATTACTATCACCACTTTGCAAAAACCAAGTTCATTTGTTATATTAATTTCAATCACAGAATTTATTATTTATAAGATATCGGCTTTGTTATTAAGGACATAATAAGTAGATAAGACTGTAGGCAATATTAAGATTTTTTTAATATTTATTTCATACATGTTTTTTATCTTTTCTTCTTCTGGCAGAGAAAATAGATCATAGCACGATTAAATAATATGCCTTTTTATATTTATAAAAATGAATGATGTAGCTAACGGTAGAAGTATTTAAAAACTTTTAATTGTTAAAAGGATAAATATTTTTAGAACTTTTTACAAATTTGTAGTTATTGCACCATTTTATAAAGAAAATCCAGCTTGAGCTGATCATAATTAATATAATGAGAAATTGACATGTTTTTTTTAATTGATATATATGTGAACTAGAGAACTGCACGGGCTGTCCGTAGCCCGACCCGACCCGAAAATAAATAATAATATTAATATCTTAAATAGTCAGTATAATTTATAATATTAATTATAAAATCATATTATTTAATATTTATCACATTTAAGGATTAAAATGTCAATCATATTAACATGTCATGTCATTATTAATTATTATTTTATAAACCTAACAACCGGATACCAAACTATTTTATCACTAAATTGTGTGTTTCCCGTGAATTACAAGATAAGACATATTTTATGTACTAAAGATAAGTTTTATTCATTATTTATTATTTATCTAGCCTATACATTGTCTTTTATAACATTTGTTTTAAAAAATTTCCATATAAAATTTAAGATTGGGATTTGATTCAGGGGAACTTATTTCTATAATTTAAATTTCACTGCCATAAATGTTAATCATCCCATCCTAGAAATTAAAAAATATTATATAAAATTGGTAAGTTACATTTATATATAAAATATAATCTTTACTTATTTCGTTTTGGTATTATTACTTTTTTATCTACTACCTTAATATTAGTTATAAATTTTCCAGATAATTTTGGTTGTCAATATTTTAAAATATGGCAGAAAAAAAATTAGGAAATTAATACAAGATTCTCAAAGAAAATAAGATGTATACTGTGATAAGTAAAATTTAAAACATGAATATTAAAAAGAATCTGTATCTGTATCTTTTGTCAAGAAAATGAAAAAGATACAAGATTCTTTTCAGAATTAAGGATCTTAGATACAGATATTAGTATCTTATTAAAAATGTCAAAATATACTGAGTACAAGATATAAAGGGATCTTGTATCATGTATCTTAGATACAAGTATTAGCAGTGCCCAACTCTGTTTATTTCAATCTAATTGATTAAAGTCATTTTAAATATTTTTTTTAACACAGCCATATTAAAAAAATTATCTTAATGGATGCAAAATTAAAAAGAATTGGTGAAAAGATTAAGACAAAGGAGTATGATAAGGAAGAATCTTAATGGAAAATCCGATGTATGGAAGAAATTTTCATTTATATATGATGAAAATAAAGAAAAGCTTAATTATGTCATTTCTATTATATGCAAATTTATTTATGTATATAATTCAATAACAACAGGTATATGAACTTATTAAATTATTTTAAGAACAAATCAACTTAAAAGACATAAATGTGTATATACAAATACAAGTACAACAGTAGAGAGTAAAAAGACACAATTAACAATTGATAGTCTTTTTGGTACTGATCCGAAAAAACTCAAAAGTTGTACAAAATTGAAAAAAGAGTGCACAAAGGTGCTTACTATGTTTTGTGGACGTGATTTGAGATCATTTGATACAATTCATGGGGAAGGCTTTGTTGATTGTTGCCAATATTTTGCCAAAATTGGTTCAATATATGGAAATATTGATGTTAAAAGCATCATTCCAAATCCTACGACAATTTCTAGAAATTCAGTAGATACTGCTGATGGTATCCGCAATAAATTATTTTCTATATTAAACTCATATATGAAAAAGGGTCGATGTGCTGGTAACAAATTTATGAAAATATGGTTAAATTATTAATAAAATTATTTATTAAAAAATAATAAAATAAATATATATCTTAACATTATTAATGAATATTTTTTTCTTAAGAAACTACAGAGGTGGTAGATACGTTTTTGGACTTCTCTCTATGGGAGGCTGACAATGCGTATTCTGATGCTAGCGCCGAAGTTGACGAGCTAAAAAAATACCTAGATCCGAAATTATGTATTGATGACGATAATATTTTAAAATGGTGGAAAACAAACCATTATGAGTTTCCAAATTTAAGTATTTTAGCTCTTAAATTCCTGGCTATCCCTGCTTCGTCGGCTAGCAGTGAAAGGGCGTTTTCCAGGTAGGGCCTTTGAGGATAGAAGGACTCGTTTAAAGCCAGATTAACTGGACGCCTCTTTATTTATATATCATAATTATTCACTTTGTGATAATTTTGATAATGATATTGATGAGGTCAATATAATATAATATGTTCATTATATTTTTTATATATTTATTAACTTTTATATCATATCTATATTCGCATAAATGATGCTTATTGTATTATATAATCGTTATAATTTTTAAATTCGCTTGTATATTAATCATTTTATAATATTTTTTACAAATTTAATAAAATGCAACTTAATATGTATCTTGAATAGATTATGGCCGTCAAATAAACTTTTATTTAAGGTGGCTGAACTGAATAAATACACATAAATTTTTTTTTGGTTATTATAATATTAAAACTTAAATTGCAAAATTTTATTCGGGTCGGGCTCGGGTCGGGTCGGGTTGGACTAAAAAATGTGTGTTCGGGCTCGGGTCGGGCTCGGACAAAAAAAATTTTTTAATTCGGGCTCGGGTTGCGAAAAAATTACTTTGCAGTTCTCTAATGTGAACTAAATAGGATCCCGTTTAAAATTTACACAATATATCAAAATGATTTATCTAAGAGATGGTCGTCAAATGTTTTTGACTCGATAAATTATTAATAGGACGTACTTTTTTAAAAAAAAGTCTTTATATATATTTTTACTATTGTGACAAGGTAAATCTTTGTTGGTTACCATCTTATTTATAAAACATTTTATATTAAATTGTTTTCTTCAAGATTTTGGATTAGCACAGTTTGTTATGATGGAATAGAAATCAAATTTATATACATGATAAATTATTGTATTCTAAGTTAGGTAGACGGTTGACATTTTGAAGTTCCTTATTAGATTTGAACTATTATTATTTTCTGTTAATATCATTTTTTCTAGGATTAGGAGGCCAGATAGGTTAAAATGTCTTTATTAAGACCGGGCCTACATATTAATAATGCCATTTATTACTATCATTATCACCTCTGTTAAATTAAAAATATATATTTAATCACAAAACCATTTGGAGTATGTGACAGTATTAAACCGTATTTGGCTGGTTGGTTAAATATAGCTTCTGTCAACTGGGCGTATTCTGCTAGTCAATTGACAAACTTGTCAACCCTGATATATATATATATAGTATATTAAAAAATATGTATGATTAAATCTTAACAAATGGGTCCAAGTTCAGCTAAATTATCGAAAGCGCAGGCACCAGTGGTTCCTAAGGTGGCACATAACTTGAATATAAAAATGGATAAAGTAGATAAAATGGTAGTTTTTTAAAATTATATTTAAATAAAATCTCATACATAAAAGGGTATATATCCAGCTTTGCGATCTTCCACAATAGCATTTGCCAAAGTTTGGCCTCTTAAAGACAAATCATCATCCGAAGCTAAATATCTCATTCTAACTAGTCCGATTAGCCCAGCTTTTTCTATCGAGGAATGGGCCTAATTTTGAATAAAAATATTTCGTAATATATTGTCATTAGTGTTTAGCAATATATTTTATGTTCAACAAAATGTAAGTATACTGTAAAGAGAGTAAAATGTGATGTTATTTACATTCTAATAAGGGAATAAGAAATATATAAATTATTTTAAAAAATTAAAGTTTAGTCTGTAATTAACTTTATTTAAAGTATATTAGTTATCCAATTTTTTAGATCTACTTGATCTGAACAGTAGGCTATAAGTCGCCCATTAACCTCCGAATCCTCCTTATCGGGAAAAACCTCTTGAACTTTTCTGATAGCCTCAGTCCTGGCTGCCAAAATAGATACAAAAGTACTTTCACTAGCAGTGGTCTTGAGAAAACATTTTTTTTTAAAATATATTACACAAAAAATTTGTTATTATGTCTAAACATTTTACTGATATTGTAAAATAATATTGTTTTTATAGAAGGTTTATTGAATAATAGGTAAGCTCATATTTGAGTTTTACTTGGATTACACCTCCTCCTGAAGTATCTGTATTAGAATGGAGAAAATCGGATGGCAAATCAATCATTTTTCCTAACCAATCCATTACTATTGTTTCCAATTCTGTACAAGCAGGGCTTGAAGCCTTATATTAAATAATACATTAAATTGAAAATACAAAGGCCTAAACATCTTTAAAATTTAAAATAAAACATTAACAGAATATTAAATATATAAATTTCCCAAAAAAGCTCAACGGGTGAATAAAATGAGAAAATACAAATTAGTTTCTTTAAGTACAGATCATCATAGGCATAACTAAATTTGCCTCTTCTCATAAATATTATTTTTAACTAATAAATATTCCAGCCAAAATCCCCCCCCCCACTCTTATCTCCTAAAAAAATTTATACAATATATCACTTTAAACAATAATTTGAAAGAAAGTAAAAGTTAATAATTTTTTTAAAATATTGACTAAATTATTTTATAAAAAAACATTTTTATAAAAAATTAGTGATAACCAAAATTATTTTTATGAAAATATAAGATAGCCAAATATCTACAATAAGTCGACTAAAAACCTCCAATAAAATTTTTAGAGAAAAAACCACATCCAATAGTATTCTCCTCTAGCTAAATCCTGGATACCCACATGATTATAATACTTTTTAATTTAATTCAAAATTTAAATGGATTACCCAGGTAAAGCCCAAACAATTTATAGCGTCTGCAATCATATCCCCTAAAAGCGAAGGGTACGAATTCAGAGCTGGAAAATAGGCGTGCATATAAGGACTTTGCCAATGCGTCACCTATATAGTTTTCGTTAAAAAAAGTGTTATAAATTTATCAAAAAATATTTATTTAATAAATTAATATTTTATGAGTATTATATCATATTTAGTTAACATATCAAAACATTAGGTACTATAATATCTATTGAATGGATATATAAACAACATTATTATATTATAATAAAGATTTTGATCATATACCCCTGGCAATATAATGTTTTTGACGTCTAGCATTATATCATCCCATGTGTCAGATTCTATAGGTGCACTATCCGGTAATAGTTTTCTCATATAACCAGGACTCACATTAGGATATACACGTTGTTGCCTTATATCCCTGAGATAATCGCCTATGAAGTCTATCAATTCTTTTCCTTATATTATATCGATTAGTTCATGTTATTAGTTGATTAAAAAAATATTTATTTTATTTATATTATTATATAAAAAATATTTAAATTGTGAGATATATTTAAAAGTTTTTTTCCATTTCAAAGGTAAAGATATTTTTTATCTCAATTATTGATTTTACTAATAGTGGATAGTAGGCATTTACTAAATTATGATAGGGAATATAATAATAATCATTATATAAAATGTAATCCATTAGTAAATTATAGTGGGTGTTTATCTATTTAAAATAAAATAAATTTATTTTTAATATGTATGATTGTGTTAATTGAATATTTTTTAATAATCAAAAATGAATTTTAATAACATTTAAGAACTTTTAGTGCTCCATCACTACATAATTTTTTTTTAATATTTTTTTTTATTTCAAATTGTCGAAAAATTGAAATGGATATCAAGATTTTTTTTCGCTCTGCAAGATTATATAAGTTCTATAAAAAATAGTTTTAAAAAGTTTTTATTTTCTTATAGTATTATAATAATTATTCTTTATTCATATTTTAAACTTTTCAAAAAAAAAATTCAATAGAGGTCTTGCAAATTGCAGCCCAGTTATTTAAAAAATAATTACAGTTCGAACTGGGTCAGGCTTAAAATTTTAAATATGATCATTCAATTTTGAGAAATAAATGGATATTTTTTAAATTCTTGCAAGAAACAAAGGCGCCAATATTTTTTATTTGTAAAATATTATATTTATAATTAAATATATTTAATCTTTTAATTTTAAAAAGAAATGATAAAACACTAAAATATTAAACCAACTATATAAAAATATGTAAAAATTTATAAAATGACTAAATAAAAAAATATATATTATATATTAAATTGAAGGCTCTAAAAAGAGCTTAATTTAATAATGAAAATGTACCTAAAAGGCAAGTATAATTTACATTTTCTATATTTAAATAGGCAGACAAATAATTTTATTTCGGGTCGGTCTTTTCAGAACAAATAAATAAAAAATCGAATCGGTCGGGCTTGAAAAATTAGGCCCGATGCAGATCACTATTTTGTATAGGAATATAGAAAATAAATGAAGTTAAATTTTTGTATAAAAATAAACAATAAAATATTTTTATCATTTAATCATATAATTACAAATATAATTTTAAAAAAATTTTTCTGGCTTTTTTAATTGCAAATAATAATCTTTTAAATATTTAAATTGTTTCGATATCATTCTCTATCATTAGTGTGAGGGCGAGTGGGAACCCCTCTTAGAAAATTTATCTATTTTTGTTAATATCTTTTAAAGCTAATATCCTATATAATTTTCATTTTAGAAGGTGGATGTCTGTTAAATTATATCAATTGTTGAGGACCATAACTATAAATTTTTACAAATTACTTCTAAACTAACCTTCTAGACCAAAAATATACTAGTTGATATCATATCAAACTTAGAATATAAACTAAGGAATATTCCGCATACTATATAAATCATAATAATTTATATCTCCGAGTTTGGAACGTGTAAAGGAGGTTTCGGCTCCTGAATATTTTATAAAAAAGCTCTTCCGATTCTTAAATTTTACGCGGTTCCGAGGGTGCTTCCCGTTACCTCAATTAAAGTAATCAAAAAAAATTCAAAGAATTTTAACAATAAATAAACCCTCAAAAAATGAATCACATCTGGTTCCTGTAAAATTTAAAAGAGGATTCCAGTTCTGGATCCGGTTCCTAGATTTCTCCCTGTCTCTGAAAATTCCTAGTCCAACTCTAATTTAGACAAATAAATTATTCTAAATGACTAACATATATAATGTTAGCTCAAAAGTTCCACATGCGAACCATAAATTTTTTAGAAGGAGGGGTTCCTAGCCTCGTTATGATCCATTGATGAATATTAGCCACCTGTATTTAAAGTGAAATACTATTAAAATTCCAATAATAACATACAAATCATGTTAATTAAAACTACTTATTATTATATGAAGCCATGTACAACATTATCCACTAAAAAGGTTATATAAAAAAATATAATCTAGAGTAAAAAATATCCTACCAAGAATCAAGGAACACAGTGAATTATTTTTTATAACCTGTTAACATGCCTATTATTTAATTCAAGGCTAATACTTAAAAATAAGAATAAAAATATTGTGAACCTTATATTCCTTTAAACGAGTATATAATATTTACTATAAAAATTTATTGTAATTACTGATCAGAGACCTGCAGACAATTAAGTTTTCTTAAATACTAGGGCCGGGCCTGAAATTTTTTTAAAAAATACCCAAACAGGGCGGTATATCTAAAAACCATATATTTTAAATCCCCTTATTAGCTATAAAAATTAAAATAATTTATTTTTTTAAAATCTAGGCCAGGCAAATGGTACCTCTGCAGGTCTCTGTAAAAATATCATATTGATAAATTTTAAAAAAACAATAATTTGCAGCAAGTTAAACAATTTTATAAGAAAGTTGTTATCACTTTATGGAAATGTTTTACAACAAATCATTTTATTAATTTAGCCTAACAATTTTTAATATTTTTTATATAAATTCTTTTTTCTTATTATCGAAACAATGCTTACAAGGATATATTTGTTTATCTGGGGAAATCATTGAAATATTTTAAAGGGGGAAGTAATTAATTATAATTTAATATATTTCTAGTTAATAATTAAGAAAATGAAGATATGTAATGTTATATTTCGCGGTTATTATGAAAAAATATATATTACACAATTAATTTAATTCATCTAAACTATGATTTTTAAAAATTTCTGATAATTCTTAGAATATTCCTTTTACTTTCAAACTCAGAAACATTTTTAAAATTTTAATCATTAAGGTCATCATTCCAGCATACCCTGAATTTTAGTTCACCCAACTACAATACATAATATTTTTTCATCGATTTATAAAAAAATGAATATTTTTATATATTTTTTCGGGAAATTTTCTTACATATAGCTAGCTCTCAACTAAATTATGCAATTAATTTGAATCCTGTCTTTGTAAAACGGTTAATATTAAACTACTTAATGCTTGGAGTTAATTTTAAAATGTGCATAACTTAAAAGCATTTAAAAGTTTTAAATTCTCAAATTTTAATATTATGAGGAAAGGGGAGACCTGGGTTATGAGCCCCAAAAGACAAACCTCAATAAAAAAATATGAAAATTTCATTTTTATTAGTTTTCTTCTAAGGACTAAATTGTTGGGTTTTAAATTTTAGAAAAAAATCTTGAATAACAATTTAATTATTTTTGAAATATTTTTTGAGAACGAATAAACCATACTCGGAAAACGTTGTTGAACCGATGCATCGGGATGAGGTTGATAGTAACTAAAAATTTGATCATTTTTGCATATGAAAATTATATATTATTTGTAAAAATAAATTTTATTAAAAATTTAAATCATAATTTTCGGGCATATTTTAAAATTGATATATTGCTATAAATGAATCGTTCCTCACAAAATTAGCCAGAAACCATCACTATCTTTGAATCTTATTTTAAAGGATTTTTAACACCTTTTTGGCTAAAGAAATAGATATTTTATAAAAATAGGATGTCTTCTTTATATATTAATTTTTAAATTGCTAAATATTTTATTTTTATTTTTATTTTTAGAAAATTGTAAAATTCTAAAAATATACTTTTGTAAATATATATTATAATGCATTAAAACATTTTTATATGTTATCCAATATTTAAAAAATAATTATAGCCGTATAAATTCTAAAGTATTAATCAAATTCTAAGAGAATGCTCATTTTAAAATGAAATATGTTCCAAAGAAAGGTAAAAATAAGGGTATTGCCATTTTTTTATCTGTGATGTTAAAATTGAAACGGAATAACAAACAAAAATTGTTGTTTTTGCATATTTTGTTCTCTAATAATGCGAGTTTCTGTTCGAAAACGTAAATTCTATAATAAAAAATAATAATTTTTTAATAAAATTTTAACAACTAAAAAGTTGCCATAAATGTCTTAAATTAAGACTTTGATGATGATAAGCGCTTTGGGATATTTTACGAGGTTAAAACGAGTCATGTAAACACAATAATGATTTTTAAAATATTTTATATTATTTTTTATATAATATAAAGTTTTATTTATTATAAAAAATATCAAATTTTTACCTACAACAGCCCTATGCATAGGCTCAATCTTCTCCCTTTCTCATAAATTTCGAGAAAAAATAAAATAAGTATAAAATCTTTTGATTCTTATAATAAAAATAGAGCTTATAAAAAAAAGAAAGATATATATTTCTTAAAAGATAAAAAAGGGGAGGGCATGGCTAGTCGAACATTGGGCTGTGCCAAATCACGTGATCTTATTTTTAAATTTAAGGACACTAGATATTTTTATCCCAATATGATCTTATTATAGTGTTCATCTATACAAAAAAATATTTTGTAATAAAAAAATATTAAAAGATTTTATATAATAATATAAAATTTTGATGTCGAATTTTGGAAATTTTTCAAGACAAAATTATAATTTCTATTTTTCCCGAGTTCGAATTACACTAAAAATATAACTCGTTAAATATTTTCAAAAGTAACTCGTTACAATTATTATTTTGCAAAGATGTAACTAGTTATTTACAATATTAGTGGTATCCTTAATTTCGACGATTTTGAAAATAGAACTTTCATATTTTTTTAAAGCAAAAAATATATACATTTTTCGAAAAAACAATAACGGTAGCGTATTTTGAGTAGGAGGTGTCTAATGTTTAGAACAAAATTTCGCGGCTCTCTTGCAGCAAGTTTTTATCTCCAAAATTTTACATTTGCTTTACTAATTTAAATATAAAAAAAATTGTTGCGTTTTAATAACTTTAACTTTAATAATTATTTAAAATACATTTTTTTAATTAAAATGCAAACAAAAATCACAAAGATTCAAAAAAATATATAAATTTATTTATATAGTGTAAAAATTTAGATATTTATATTACACTAATTAATATACTTCATTGCTAAAGATAATG